AATCCTTATATACAATACTATTCTTAACTTGTTTGCATCTAGTGGTGTGATCAAAATGTAAGGTGGCTTTTTATTCTTATTAACAAATATTTATGTATTCTTCAATATTTATATTGTCTCCTTCAAAGTAATCCCCCACAGATATAATACACTTGTGCCAGCACTTTTTCCAATCCTCGAAGCACTTCTGATAAGCACTTTTTGGTATAGCTTTGAGCTCTTTCAGCGATCCAGTCTTTATCTCCTCAATCGTTACAAATCTTCGTCCTTTCATGGCTCTCTTCAGTTTTTGGAACAAGAAAATGTCGCAGGGGGCCAAATCCGGTGAATTCAACAGTTCCTGAGCGATGCTCATGCGACGAATGATGAAATTTTTTCGAGTATTTTCCAAATTTAAGAGATATGTACTTTCAAGAAATCGTCAAAAGTAATTTTACGAATAGTACAAACTAGCTGGTTATTGTTGCTCGCTTAATTCATATAGCTATTCGTGTTTATTTTGTGTGCGACCCTTTACGGGCCACACAAGAAACTTCCCGATTTCCGATTACAGCGCCATCTATCGCGAATAAAAAAAATGTTTGAAACTAGTGTTTTGAAAAGGTCTCATAGCCAGCTTTTACAGTGCATCATAAAAAATGAGGTGCTCCATTAAAAAAATCATGTTGACCTTGACGTGACTTTGACCGGTTCTTTGAAGGTCAAACGGACACGATCGTTCAATAGAATTTTTGAAACCCTAAAACATTTCTCTAAACCGTTTTTCTCACAAATGTTCCATTTTGGAAATATTTGACTGTTTCCATACTTTTGGAGCACCCTGTAAGTATACATGTGTTATACATACGCATACAAATGTAATAATAGTAATATATTTCGGTTTAGTTATTCGCTCATAAATTTATATTCTCCCATCTAGATTGCGTTAGTGAGTTAAGTTTTCTTAAAGAAACTAAAAAACTACTAGACCTAATTAGAACAAAATCTAATCAGCTCTAAGTTAGATTGATACACATCGATTGCATCATCGATCTTTTTGATTTCGCTATTAGTTTTTTAGAAAACGTTAACGAAAAATTTGTTTACATACGTACATACATACGCACATACACACGCGCGAACAATTTGTTAAAAATAGGCTAAACTTACTCCAATGACCTTGAAACATGGAGATCTGCTAAAAAATCGATTTTTCATTTTAGGGGCAAATACAATAACATCCCTACAAATCGGGAAGTTAACAAATTATTTACGAAGAATATCCCTTGCGATTGAAACAAGAAAAAAAATTGAAGTTCGTATATTGAACAATCGTGGCGTAAAACATTCTTTTATGAACTTCTATTTTAACAAAATCCTATTGACAACGAACGACATCGAGGCACCACCGACAAAAATAATCGACTCTGCGTGGAATGAACTGTTCGCAACGCGTTGTAGTACAATTGCCATAGGAACAAAAGTTTTTCTGACCGTAAGAGAAAGATCCTACGAACGAATACTAGAACAACAGGAATCCATAGTATTTGGCATTCAGCAACAAAACTTCCACCGCAAAGTATGAGCTGAAAATTCTAGCACGAACACGAATACCGTGGATTCGCACGAGCGTCGCGCGTACGCCTCACTCGGCATGGGCAACCGATTGTTTCCCGATAGCGACGCATTGACGGAAGCGGAGGTCCTCCATTGTCTCGGGACAGGCCAGGCGTGCAGAATCTGTGCCAGGAGTGCACGCTATGCGCGCGTTGTGCCAAATGACGTCACCCACGGTGGACTTGCGAAACTCGTTTTGCACAGACAATCGTTCGCTGCAGTCGCGACACGCGCTACCACGCAACGCACACCAGCAGCCTGTAGTTAAGGGGATATTCCCATTCGACAGGTCGAAGAACTCAGTCTTACCTCTTTTGAATAAAACATAGTTTTAACAGTTAGCTGTTTCAGGGAAACAAAATTGAAGTTTTCATTCCACAGATACGAGATATCTTTTTGCAACCTGTGCTTTGTTACGTGTTACAAGCAAATTATTTTCGTATTTTCGAGACGAAAGAATATGGTATAAGAAATACGGTCTTCAATCCTGTGTTAGAGTTTGAAATTTTTCGCTCTAATACTTTTCTTGCAAAACGATTCGATGAAAATTTCACTTTAAGATCTATGTCATTTTCTTACCACTTTCAACACTGAAAAATGTTAAAGCGTAGGCAATTTATTTTATTATTATAGATTACTATTTGAATTTGAGAATTGTATTAAAAATTTGTTTACAAACAATTTTCCAAAGCCAATCTTCTTTCAGATTGCTAATGAGAACACCTTCGCAATCTCTTCGATTTGATTGAAATCTCAAATTATTCGTTCACATACTTCTCTCGCCACCTAAAAAATACCTTATTCCGCTTGCAACCACAATATTTTATTAAGCTTTACAGAGAGTTACTCTTATTGACATGTCCATACACGCTAAAGTGTAGGGAGTATACTCTACACTCTTGCATTTAAATCTCGAGTCATTTACTCTCAACGTTTTCGCACAAAAAATGTCCAAAGAACACCTTTCGTTCCTGCTTGCCAATGCGAATAGCTCCTTAAGCTCGACAAGATCTGCCCACCGCTAAGAATGCCGAACACACCTATCCGCGATTCAGCGACGTGCATAGACAGGGATCAATGAGTCATGCGAGCTGTCAAAGGATATTAATAGGCCGGTCCCTTAAGCTACAGATTTGAAAATAGAAAAAGAGGCTGTCTTGTGCGGGAGCTTTCACTTCCTCGAATGTCCGGGCGTTCCCGCGATATCGGCCAATTAGAGTGGCAACTAGGAAAAACGATTCGGTCGCGATAACGCGCTTTCGATGCCGCAGCCTCGAAGGGAGGAGTACAGTGTGCTCTGTCTGGCGGAACGCGTAGATTTATTGGGCACCGGCAACCTGGTGAAAGTCTGTGTATCGCGTGTCATAAGCGCGGGAGGATCATTCTGTTAATAGGATCAAATCGTCGAGTACGCTCGCGGGGTTCGTGTGCTCGATTCGGATGATAAAACTCGTTCGTCTTCGTTACGGGTTTCAATTCGTTGAACCTTTCTGTTTCTAGTGTTTTACGTACCGTTAGTACACGAGGAGATAGGAGGCGTCTGTGGTGGGTCTTGGTAGTTAAAGGATTGGCATAGCCTGATAGGAACGGTCGAGTGTAAATTGTCGAGTAGGGATTCCAGTTAGCGCAGAGTTGATCTATTCGATTCTCCAAGCTTCAGGTAACTGCGAAGAGAAAATGCTGATCGATGAGAATACGGCATTCAAATCAGAAGGATTTACCTGTGGGAAATCCTCGACCTGACAGATATCGTAGTGCATACAAATTTTGAACTTTCCTTAACCAATCCATCGATATCGATCGAACCTTGACACATTTTCAGCATTTAGGATAGACCGCTATCAAGTAACACCGCGTGTGACAAGATTCACTGCCGTAATACGAAACCTCGAATAGGGTGCTCTTTAATATTGTCTTGCTATGCACTCTCTGTGCTCAAGATGTGCTGATAACGTTATCGTATAGTTACATTTGTCGTAGCGCGACTGCGTCCTAAATATTCACTGAACACGTACTTTATGAACACTGATTACATCTTGGCTTAGATCCTATGTATGCCTATGTTCTTTGTAATCTCTAACTGCACTCTGCCTAGGGCACCTGTGTCTATTCTTACCTACAACTTCGGTACTTTCTCCATTGCTGACGTTGGGCATGCTGTAGTGAACCGAATGATAAACGTTGTGCTGATAAATACAGAGATAAACGTTATCAAAGACCCGTGCTAAATCTTGAGTTAACCGATCCACAAATCTCGGTTTATAACACTATTCCGGAACAAGCTTACACTTTGATTTATGTAATTAAATAGCGAATTTACATTCACGTCGACAGAACATAAGTGACATACAATTATTACATATTGACAAACAAACAAGGTAGTCTCTGAAGTTTTATTAACACCAGAGGAAGCTTATTCGTCGTTTCGCTATTTCTTCAGAAATGCAGTTGTAAAGACTTCTGTAATAGATGAAATTTACTTTGAAAATCCCAGCTGGAACGAGTACAACAGAAGGAACTCTTTGGAAGGAACTACACTTACTGGAGCGAATTCGGATGTGTTGTCCTACTTATGTCTCATAATTGTTTTTGTATTTGGAAGTACAAATTAATTCGGTCCGTTTTTTTGTGTTGAAAAATGCATTTATTTCGAGGACAACATGAATTAACAGATTAATCAAAGTATTGTCCATCGCTGTTTACTACTTTTTCTCACCTCTCAGGCAATTTTCGAATTCCATCTCGAAAAAATATCTCGTCGTTTGAAAACGGACCGAACTAATTTGTGCTCCCAAATACAAATACAAATTACAATTTCCCCAGAATAACCTTGAGTAATACAATGATTTGCTACATTAAGACCCGTGGTACTCTTTGTCGTCCTTTGCTCAAATATCGACTCGACTCCTGCGGAATCTAGGTCCTACCCTAATCAAATAAAACTGCGAAACAACTGGTGAAAATGTTTCGGCGTTCCACGGTCTATCGAGCTAAGAATAGCCGACGTGTTTTGTGGACTGTGCTTCTCGAAAGTAGTAAGAACCACGAGGAGGACCAACATGGACAGGACGTTTGAAGTGGGCCGAGAAACGACTGGAAGCGAGAAAGCATCCGCGGAGCAGTGCCCCATCGTGTTCTCGTCTAACAGCGGAGAGTAGCAGACAGTCGAGCCCAGGCGAGCCAAACAGCTGTCAAAGCCTCCGCGGTCTCGTTCCAACCGACCCTTCTCCGCGACCCTGCTGGCCGATGTTGTGGTTGCTAATGTACTCGGTCCACGTCGCACAGCCAGTCGTCAAGCGACAGGCATCGCGACAAGAAGAAAGGAGCCACGCTTCGTCCCGTGAATACAATGTGTGTTTACCTTCCTATTTAGAAGCCACGCACTCGAACGAGAGACACTGCGCCCTGAAGATGAGTCACTTCGCGAAACGGACCTGCGCATGGGAGCAACTTAACACCTGGTTCTTGTATTCCTACGTTGACGGCTGCGAGTGACAGGTTTTTCCTGACAAATTGGCCTGCTCATGGTTTCGTAAGCGGTTGTCGAGGCTAGGACAACTTGAACTCAATGAATGCATCCTTGGGGATAGAGATAGAGTGTTGGAATGCATTTGAAAGAAGTGAAATGGGAGTTTAGTTTTTATTTCATTTTCAATGTTTGTCACGATTACGATGGACAGATTTTTTTTTCATAAATTGATTGATTCGTGGTTTAGCGAGAAATTATTGAAGGTTCAATCTTATGTTATTAATTTAATCTGAACGTGTCCAATTGAGTACCGATCAAAATAATTGCTGTTTTCGTTGAGGAAGTTTGATATTTGAGTACATCTTCTTTTAGGACATTTAATTCAGATTCTGCTACTTTTTCTTTACAGTGAGTATTTATCAATTCGTGAACGCATAAATCATCAAGTGACGATCATTTTTTTAAAGAATACAATAAAACTTATATTTAAGGGTTAAAACTATCATGTGCCAGAAATAGTAGAAGAAGTAGCAACCACGAAAAATTTCTGACATATCTAAGCAATAAGTAATACTAGAATTTCGTTGAATAATGAATGAGTTCCTTGAAATTTGAATGAGTGGTGATGAAGGATCCTAGGTCACAAACATGTCTTGTTAGCATAAATAATCAGATAGAGTATCCAAAGTTACTTCATAGCTAACCATTCACGATGAAATTCGTGGGTTCCATGTAATAATCTCCGAATATGAGACTCCCTTGCAAGTTCAGACGAAAGCTATAAATTATGTCAGCGTGGTTGAAAGTTGATAGAACTAATAATTCCAGGAGCTTTTAATGAATGGATGAAATTTGCCAAAGATACAGATTTTCGGTATCGATGATCTATTCAGTTCCTGAGAGGCTTTCCGGTTCAAAGTGAACGTTTCATATGCACCATCCCTTGTTGCGGTTCTGTGGTCGACCATTGCTAGCGATTCTTGACGGGGCACCCGTAATTCAAACTCCGATCTGTACGCCATGTAAGTGGCGGATGAAAACGTTGGTCCTTGGGTTGGTCCAGATTTTACGCCCTCATCCAGGATAGACAGGCCTGGCAGCGCGGAAGTTGCGGTCCAATTCGTTTTGATAGAAACGTTAGAAACCGTGCCAAGACGCACGGATGACTGGGAGTGCAAGGGAATCTACTCCATCGCCTTAGAAAAAGACGTCTAAAGTGTTCCTTCCTGAATCATTCACTCACATGCTATTGATGGCTTATCCAGCATGTGCATATTTTTTAATATACAGGGTGAGTCTTATAACGCGACGACCTCGAATAAATCGTAAGGTATTTGTTGTACGACAAAATGGTTCAAACAAAAGTTGCATGGTATCTAAGGGGACATACAGTGCTGTAATCTGTTTTTCATTACCTTACTTTTTTATTGAGATATTAGGGTCACTGTCAGTTTTTTAAATGGAATGTCTAACATTTTTTTTTTCGAATTCGGATAAATCATCAAATTTATCGTGAAAAAGTATTACATGAAGTGGGACTTGAAATGAATAATTACTGAGATATCTTCAAATTAATAATCTTCTATTAGGAAATACGCTTAGTCAACGTGATTCTTAGCACGACTTTATTCACGTCGGTAGGTCATGTCTGTAAACAAGTTCCCTGTTAAATATTAATAATCATCAACTCGGAATGCCTATTTAGTATTTCGGTAAGCGTTAAAGTCGTATTGAGAAAGGTGCTACATTTTTATTACAATGTTTAGTAACAGTGAAACAACGTTATGATAATTGTTTATGGTGCGTGTGAAGAAAATGCTGTAAAAGCTAAGATCTTGTACCAAGCTAAGTATCCTGATCGAAATCAGCCATCGCATTCTACCTTCTTAAGGCTTAGTCGAAGACTCAAAGAATATGGCAATTTTAATGTACAGAAACGTAAAAAAAAAAATATACATGTCGAATTGAGTAACCTCCTCCTTTTCGAAGTCGGTTAAAAAGGTATCTCAAAGTTGTGAATAATGAAGGATGTCGTACTTCAACCTTAGCAGCTATTGCCCATAAACTTCTTTTATAAATATCTCAGTAATTTTTCATTTCAAGTCCCACTTCATGTAATACTATTTTACGCAGAATTTGATGATTTATCCGAATTCGAAAAAAAAAAATGTTAGACATTCCATTTAAAAAACTGACAGTGACCCTAATATCTCAATAAAAAAGTAAGGTAATGAAAAACAGATTACAGCACTGTATGTCCCCCTAGATACCATGCAACTTTTGTTTGAAACATTTTGTCGTACAACAAATGCCTTACGATTTATTTGAGGTCGTCACGTTATAAGACTCACCCTGTATATTCCAAGGTACCGTATGTTCTTTTTCCTGATGAAATTATGATGTATCGAGAAAGTATATTAATGCAAAATTTATGATGTCGGGACGATTTTAATTTTTAAAATTATATTAATACAAAGAAAAAGCAATGGGATAATTGCTTGTCTGGTATAAATATATTTATGACTGGGATGACGAAAAGAAACATCTATTGATAATTGTTAAAATAACTACACTTGAGAAAAAATGTATTAGTCTGTAGTACTATGTATGTTGCCTCTCAGTAACTCGATTTTTATGTGCATCCATAATGCACACTTATAAATCGCTGTTACCTTTTCTAAATATCAACTAACAATTACATTACATGATTGTAATCAATGAAATGATTTCATTATTTGAGTGTATATACAAATAAACAGACTCTAACAAACACTTTTTTCTTTCTGTTCCAGGTAAGTGTCACCTGTCAATTCGAAAGAGACTCACGGGAAAGGAAGAGACGTCATTCTGGGGTCGCATTTAACACTTTTCAGTTTGAAATAATTTTGCCTAAATTAAGTGCAGTAGGCTTTACAAACACAATTATACAGAAATATTTGTTGGACGCTACCTAATTAAAAGGGACAAACAGTCTGTGATACAGTACATATGGGCTCATAGAAATAAAATCATGTATCAAACTTGTGACGCTGGTACAATAGAATTCACTTTTGTAGTACCAGCTTTGTAACATGTGTGAATTAGAACTAGAAAATAAAATAAAATATACTTCAATATTTTCAGTACATGTACTGAAGTAGGATACTTTACTTGACATCTTGTTTGCTAAATCGTCAAGTGTAGCTGTAAATTACATCGTCAAACGTTAGCGATGTCAAGTCGAGCCATTGAGAAGTTAACATAAAATCATGTAGCTTAAAGTTAGCTATCTGAAACCATCAGAGTAGAAGGGGTCAAGTAACCTTTCAGGGAACCCCAGGATAGAAGAAGCGTCGGAGGAGAAACGAGAATGTTAAAAAAAATCGAAGCTGAGTCGGACGAGTGACAATCTGAGCTTTGATTTCGAGCCGAAGGATTTCACTGCTGACGCGCGACGATGGTGGCGCCTAATGGGCTTGTCTCGCGCTAAAAATATATACTGCTTTGAATTTCCCATTTAGCAGGGAGGGATACGGCAGGGAACAGGAAAAGAGTGAAGGACGGCGGCTAGGGGAAACGAGGGAGGAAGAGGGCACTGCCACTGTTACTCCACTTTCGACCGGTGAAAATAACTCGACCGGTGCTTCGCGGTACCGTGTCATTTCTCTATCCTCCTTTGTCGCTGGGCTCGCGCCTCCATCGTTTCACGTGAAACGTGGCTGCGTCGGCGAGAAGGGAGAAAAAAATTGCAAAAGCCGGGCTGGCTTCCCGCCTCGCATAGAACATGCGGAGATGGAAATGCTGCGGCTATAGGCTTTTTACACCGTTGGTCTTTGTCATGGGTAGCACTTTTGCTCGACGGAACGTCGTTCAATGACCGAGCAATCCGCTATGGAATACGCTATTGTACCTACCCGCGGGTCTTATCGCTGGATGTCACGTTTCAAGAAAACGTGGACTACAAAAATTGATGAAAATTACAACACTTCGACAACACAAATTGATAACACTTGTCCTTGTTATCTTGTATATAATGTATATCGTATTCGTTTCAATCAACGGAAGCTTGTGCGGGAATACATAAATAAATATCAGTTGACGAAGGTCTAAGGTATGTATATGTCGCAGGGAAATGATAAAAATAGAGATTTAATCAAATCCCTAAGGTAGATGATCAATTCACGGGAGATGTTAAAATAACAAGTCAATTTTCCTAAAGAAAGTAAGTGATTTGATCAAATACCTTAACTGTTTTAGTGTAAAGATGAAATAATATTGTTATATATTGAAAGTATTTATTTAGTAAATCATGCGTTATTAAAAGTAGAATAGGTAATACAACAATACTCATAGAAACATAAATTATTTATTCGAGACTAATTAGCAAAAGAAATAGGTACTTAGGCTGATATTTTAAAAAACAAAAAGAATATTTTTAGGGAATGTAATTAATAAATAATTTATGTACTACGACTATTGTTGTATTACCTACTTTACACTTAATAACGCATGATTTACTAAATTAATACTTTTAATATCTAAACAATATTATTCCATCTTTTCACTAAAACAGTTAAGGGATTTAATCAAATCACTTACTTTCTTTAGGGAAATGACCTCACAGAGTTGTTATTTTAACATGTCCCGTGAATTGATCATCTACCTTAGGGATTTGATCAAATCTCTATTTTTATTACTCCCCTGCAACATATATACGTATAAAGCGCATATATGTATACAGTAGGTGTCAGAACTATTCGTACAGCAACCAATTTAAAATAAATGATGTCTGTATGAATACTTATTACATTGACTGTATATGTATATGTGCTTTATTTTGTATCTAGGCTGGGGACTTTCTGGTACGCTTAGTTTATACCATTTACGTGACTTTTATGTAATAAAATTAATACGCGAATGAAAATGACGAAATGTCGTCTGGAATTCGATTTGTTACAAAAATCAGAAGTAAACAAGTTTTGTTTACTTCTTTTATTCAATGGAAGCCTGCATGCCTGTATATCAATGAATATTTAATAATACAATAATTATCTAATGATGATCAGAAGTTGTGTTTGTGAAGCAATACCCACTTGAGCAATATTACCGTATAAGGAACACGTACAAACAGAAGTTATTTGCAAAGCATCGTTTTATACAAATTAAAAATATTGAAGTTTGAACGTCTCTGAATCGAATACTTTCCGTCTTAATATTGAAACCTTCAACGAAATGAGTAGAAAATTCTTGTTTTATTGTACTTTGGAATTTCTTATAAGATGGAATGTCTATAAGCCAAATAGTCTTGGATTTATTGTAACATTGCCTTCTTGCGCGACAAGGACTACACTCCGGTGGCGGAGCTAAAAATTTAGAGGAAGCAGTTAAACCTCATTCAGTCTTGTTAACAAGTTGTTAACAAGTATATTTCTCCAAGTATCTGCTGGCATCGCTTAGTTCCTAATACTAGTTTGGAAAGAGGTTTTCGATATCCTGGACGCTTTGATTGGAAAACCAGTCGTCGGATAATGAGAAGAAATTCGAATCAAGTCTCACCAATTGCATTATCGCTTATGTGTGCAATTCTAGCATCGATAATCGGTTGTGTACCCTTTCGTTTCGAATGGTGGCTTCGAAAGATTCCTTCGAAAGAAGGAATCCTAGATAACCTGGATGCCTCGATTGAAAAACCAGTCGTCGGATACTGAGAGGAAACTCGAATCTGGCTTCGCCAACAGGATCATCGGTTATGCATATAACTCTAGAAGTGATAATCAGTTGTGTATCCTTCGCAACGGCCGGCGCCACGCTTCTAAAGAAAAGATTATTAGTCGTAAGACAAAGCATTATCGAGTTTGATCTTCCAATGAGCACGCCGCGGTAACCGTGTTTGCCAACCAAGGCAAAGAAACGATGTAGCGACACGTTAATTAGAAACTCAACAAAAAGGAGGGCCGGTTTGCCCAGCTTGACCCGCGTTCCACATGGTCGGTGTCTCTCGCTGTGTACATACAGGGACCCAAAATACCTCGCATCATCTCACGAGCAGGCGATCGGTCTTATTCATGTCACGTCGTTCGTCATTTCTTCCAGAGAACTAGTAACTTCGCGGCGACGCGGGCAGACGGTCGGAAGCGGACGTGGGCAAAAATCATTCTAATTTGCTGGTTCGCCGCAGAGTAATCTTCTTTGCTTCGACACCAGAACATTGGTGTTCGTCTTCCCTTTACGTTCTTTTCTTCAAATTATTCATTTTTCATTATTATCACGGACTCGAGTAAAATTTGTTCTCAGAGGGCAATCATTTGTCGAAAATTTGGACAGCTACCGTCGCGTCGCTATTTCTCGTCATCTTCTATTTCCCGGTTAGAGAAGTGGAAAGTTTTATTGTGAAATTTTGGCAGAAGTCAAATTACAATACTTTATAATTCTATGCGATTTTGAGTTTACATACACGTATAACTCCCAAAATATGATTTCATGTATAGTATAATAAACAAAAATATTAAGAGAAATTGTACAATAAAATTTTTTTTTGTTTCAATTTCGTACATCTTTAAAAACACAAAGACTAATAATTACATGAACTGTAATATAATATATTATTCTTGTATGTTCTCGTGTAATCCCATAGGTTTTCTTCAAAGTTCGTACCCACTTGGTTTTACAAAATTTCATAATATCGTCATGAGAATTCTCATAATATTGTTGCGGCGGCATGAAGATGCCGCAATATTGCGAAGTTGCATCGTCGTGGCAGCGTGAAGATGCTGCGATGATTTGAAGTGCGATCTGAAAATCATCGCAGGAGGTATAAAGGATTTGTTAGATTCAACCGGTAGTGTCCTATTACTTTTGAATTGGCAGATCGTCGCCAGACTTGTTATCGAACAGGTGTGTTTACTGATTGAGTTCTTGTTATTGTTAATAAACGTTTAAATGACTACTCCTCGATGTGCCACCACCCCCAGCGTAACATTGGTGTCAGAACTAAGTTCTTATTCTTATATAAAAGACGTGTTGATTATTAAAAATGTCTACTCCTCGATGTGCCACCGACCCCCGGCGTAACAATATTTTCGTTTATTGTACTCTAGAATTGAGTCTTTTTTTCGAGAAGAACCATACCAACTAAGAAGAACCATAAATGTTCATAATCTAAATAAAGCGCATGAAATCTATTACTAATTTTTTCCATCAACCAACAATTTCAATTATTTTATTTTTCTTAAATTTTAATTATATCACAATTCAATAATTATCAATCTTCCACTGCACGCGTTTCTTTCAAACACCTAGAATAATTTGTATTATGAATGGTTCAATGCCCGTGACGTCAACTTCTTGTAGAGATGTTTTTTCCAGGAATAACGAAGGCGTCGTTAACCCAGTCGATAATGCACGGATAATGGAGGCAGTTCGTTGCGAAACACCGATCGTCGGGAGCCTCGATGCATTTAGCGTCCTTGTCGATAATCGACGTATCGGGGATAATGTCAAAAGAAGCTAATGTCGACGGGCAGGGCCGACGAAGCTGTGAGAAAATTCTTAGACCGTTGGCTGGTTCGTATGCGGGCGCTCAAGAGACATGCTACCCGATCACCTTGCGTAAATTCTTGCATTATTTTCTCACAAGCCTTGAATCAGCTTCCACGCGAGTACGTTACTCTCTCCATGGTAATTGCATTAATTTATCGCGCCCGAATGACGAGTTTTTCAGCTGTCTACGGCACGAGATCTACTCAGCTACGCGTGATCCACGAAGCGTTTAGAATAATCGTGGAAATCATTCATTTTGCTAACGGAACTCCGTTTATCCAATGTTTCGTGGGTGTCGAGTTTAGTTATTTCACTGAATTCAACGCTCGCCATTGAAAGTATTGGTACAGTGGCGTTCAAATTACCGTCCATACGATGGAGTATGGGTTGAAAGTGTCATGTGTTTGTAAATGTAGAAACTAAACGCAGTGTAGAAGTACCATGAAGACCAAATGTCAATTCAGATTTTTTTAATCAAGTTTAGTGTTTTTCATAACTTTAAAGAACTATAATTCTTCTTCTTTTTACTTTACAAATAAATCTTAATTTTAAATTCTTTTCTTAATTAATTTTCATTAATCCTTTTTATATGATATAAGAAAAT